TAAGTTTAAACATTTCTCCAGAGGAATAGATACCCAAAACTAAGTCAAAACTCAGATAAAATTAGGAAGAAAATTAAGCATTTGTGAGAGACAATATATTACTATTAGTAATATACTAATGAATTTCATAAATTGATAAGAAAATAATAAATTATTAAGTGAAAATGGGCAAAGAATATAAACAGATCATTCACAGAAGAAAGTACAGTTAAATTTCAGTTGAACAAATGAAAATATTCTAATCTCACTGATTTAAAACAATGAAAAATTAAACATCTATTTACTACTATATTTCTTTCATTCAAATTAAGTAATTTTTAAAGTACATATATTCAGGAAAAATTATGGAGAAATAGAATCTCTCATAAATTACTTGAAATTGTTCGGAAGATTTTTGGTAGATTATGATGTAGGAAAGGAAGTTAGGGTTTGAAGCCAACGGCCAAGAAGGAATTCTTGAGATGTCTTTGGTGCAAAAAGGTGATTTTATTAAAACACAGGGACAGGACCCATGGGCAGAAGGAGCTGCAATGGGGTCAAGAGAAGTGGCCCATTATACACTTTCAAGTTGGGAGGGGGTTAGGGATAGTGTAAGTCTCTAAGGAATTTTGGAAGCAAGGTTTCCAGGACCTTGAGGGGCCAGCTATTGTTGGGAAAAGGTCATTTATTACCATCTAATAAAACCTTAGTCATGAGACCCTTCAGATGTATATTGGTGGCCCATATGCTTGGGGGATGATTGTCAACACGCATCTTGGGGGTTTGGAGATAAAGGAAATTTCTAAAGGAATTTTTATATGGTTAAGTAGACTTACAGGATCCTGGTGGGGGGTGGGGGGTGGTGGGAAGGCTAGGCTTGCCTTTTGCCCTCAGCAGAGTATTAACATCAAGGTAGTTGAGTCCCTAGAGGAAGGTCACTCTGCCTGTTTCAAGGACTTGTCAGTGGGCTGTAGGTAGTAAGGAAATTTAATAATTTTTCTTCTGCCTTTGTTTCCCACATCAGGTTACATAAAAATGCTTTAATAATGGTTACATTTTAGAAGTAGGACTTGTTTTCTTACGAGAAAGATATGTTTTCATCATGTACTCTTTATTCTCTCTAATTCTTTTTATCATGTGCAAGTAGAAATTTTGGGGTTTGGCACTCTGATACTTAAATTTTCATTTAATAGCAAAATATGAAGCATATTAGCTGACTGTTGCTGCATAACAAATTACCACAAATGTAGTGGCATAAAACAACACATACTTATTATATAAAAGTTGTTTGTAAATCAGGAGTCCAGACAAAGCTTAATGGAATCCTCTGTTCTCAGCTTCACAAGGATGTAATTACGGTGGTAATTGGGCTGTGTTCTCATAAGGAGGCTCAGTTGGAAAAAATTCTACTTCCAAGGTCAGTAAGGTTGATGGCAGAATTAATTTCCTTGAGGTGATAGGACTGATGGCCCCAACTTCTTGCTGGCTTTTGGTTGGAGGCCAACCACCCTCAGCTTCTAGAGGCCACTCAAAATTCTTGCTCCTAGAGGCCACTCATATCTTCTTGTTACTTGAGTTTCTTCAACATGGTTGTCTACTTCATCAAGTCATAAAGGACAATCTCTAAATAGTGTTTGAGAGTCTAGACAGAGATTGCTAGAAAGGTGAAATTTACATAATATTATCATAGGAGTGACCTCCAGTCATTTTTGCCATAGTTCACTGGTTAGAAGAAAGTCACAGGTCTCACCCACATTCAGTGGGAGGGAAAATAATGCCAGAATTAATATCAGGAGCATGTAGATTATAGGGGGCCTAAAATTTATCTAGCACATGAAGGGAATATTTAATATTTAATAGAAAGAAATGCAATGAATGGCTGACATGGTAACTATTCTAAAACAAACCATAACTAAATAAACAAAAAAACCCCAAACAATATCCTAGTGTCTCTTATATGTAATCGTCTTACATATAGTAATCCAAATTGAATGTGTTATATGCTTTAGATAACTTATTTCTCTACTTTTCAAGATTGTCTGAAATGTCCTTATCTTAAAATAGAGTCAAATTTTTAAGTACATTTAGATTTTCTAAATATTTAGAGACCATTCATGAGATATTCATGAAAAGTTTGAATAAATTCCTAGTTGCTTCCTTTGTAATCAACCTTATAACTCTTGGATGCTACAGAAAAGCAAATCTAGGTTTTTGGAATTTAAGCTGTGCTGAGATAAATTTCAAGACAGCAGGAGTTATAACTCAGAGAGGTTATATAAATAATTAACCTTTGGAAATAACACTTGCTATGCGAACACACATATCAATAAAAATAATTACCAGATTCTATTCACCTTAAGCCAAAGATTGCAGTGGGTAATTTAAAGAACATTTGAAATATTTGCATATCATTCAGAGTGTTACCTTTTCTCTGGTTCTTAGTATTAATGAGCCAAACAGCAAAGCTTCTGTATTAGTGTGTAAAAAGCGACACAGTGATCATCTGATTGACAAACAGTAAGCCCTTTGCCTTTTGGAAAAAGGAAAAATGATTTGGGGCTTTAAGATAGTTAGCTGATTTCATAAGGTATCAATGACAAAAGAAATTTTCTAACAGAAAGTCTGACAAGGAGGAAGTGGTGTTGCTATAAGAATAGAAGATTTGCCCTGAGTTTGTTTGTTTGTCAATACTTGGTCTTCACACAGAATAAAACAGGAATATGAACAGACACCTATTTTGGTTGTGAAGCATTCAAATAGCCCTTTAATTATCCAGTCTGTTTCAGACACTATTGAAATTTTCTTAGCTTTTTAATTCTTTCTCTAGCAGATTTAAAATAATTACCATCTTCATCCATTTGAATGTATGTTAAATGAAATTCTGATGCTTCCGTTGTTAAGAGGGGCCTCCATTCTCCATAACTGAAGATCCAGCAAAGGTCCCTATGGCCTCTCTGAAATTTTGACAGTTTTATATCCAAGGATTTCATACTTGTGATATATTTTATTTACATTGCATTGAGGTACTTAGGTGGAAATTATGTTTATTCTAATGTCACAGATTATTTAAATGATACACTAAAGGAAAGGAGGAAAATCACCCTCCTGTGATGTATGTATTGGTTTTGTTTTCCACTCCCATCTCCAATCCGACCCCTTCCCTCTCACTCTTGAAGCTCACACTTTGTTACTCTTCTTTCAGGAATGGATGCTGCATGATATTTTGATTGTGTACATAATTTTGTCTGTCAGATATCTTCTGTAAGATGGGATGTACTAGCTTCCCATTTCTCTTATATTTATATTACATAAATGTATATATTTATAAAATACATATAATAGCTTCCCAAATAGCTTCCTCTCTTATAAATGTTACCCAAAATAATCCATGTTTATATTTTAGGGAAATATTCTAACAAAAATGACATCTGCATATTAATAAAAGGGATAATAATGGTAGCGATGATGAAAATTTTTGAGTGTGCACCATATGCCACATCCTGAGTGCTGGGCCTGGTACTTTACACTATGGAGATGCTGTGCAGCTTGTTAAGAGCATGGGCTTCCGTGTCAGACTTTGTGCTTTCCCATCCTGGCTCTACCATTTCCTGGCACTGTCTGTTTGTGTGAATAATTACTATCTGCCTTGGGTTTCCTGGTTTGTAAAATGTGAATGATATTTTAGCTACTTAGGACTTTGTTGGGGCCTTAAATGTATTGATGTATGTAAACCACTTTTTCAAAATGCATGGTACACAATGAGCATTCCATAAATGTTAATGAATATTCCTAACTCTAAACCTCACGGCTATGCTACTTTACAAATAACAATCCGAGAAAGAGAGTTGGGGTGACTTTTTCATAGTCTAACAGCAGGATGGGCTGTTAGAATAGCTGAAAACTGAACGCTAGGCTCCTAACTCACTTCACATCACTTTGCTGTATGTGGTTAGGTGGTTTAAGTTTGTGACTTAATAGCAAAATGAGGATAGAGCAGGCTGTCCCAACCCTAGACTTGAGTTGTAATGGGCAATGAATCCAATACTGTGAAGAAATGAAGTGTGAATCCCCTGTCATCGGGTCCCTCCTACTGGTAGAAGGAGAAGAATAACTAGCTATGTGACAATGAGCCTGTGATCTAATCTTGCGTTCTCTCAAATATAAACTGTAGCCAATAATATGGTTTTCTTTTTGTTTATAAAGACGGAGGTAATGCATTTTATTAAATAAATATTGCACTGAACAAGTTAAATAAGCAAAGATGATTTTATTTAGTCTGTTGCACTTAATGCAACAGAGAGATTGAACTTAATGGGGTTTAGGACATGCTACCCGAAAATATGGCATCTTGGAATATTGTATATTTTAAGCTGAAGAGATTTGAGGACACGGCAGGGCAGGAAGGTCACTCTGCCTTCTTCTTCCCCTTACTCTTCTTCTCTGTAACACATCATAACATCCTCATGAGAGAGGTACCCTCCCATCCTTCTCTCCAAAGACATAGGGACTCCAAGAGGAACCCTAACAAACAAGTTTTGCTAAGTTCTCTCCAGTTTATTACATTTTACTCATACTCCTTGATCTGTCCTGTTCCTCCACAACTCTGTCCTCTTCATGGAACCTAGCATAAACATATAGAGGTCTAACTCTTTCTTTGGATTTTCATTTCCTTACAAAGTCTCCTGCCATGTACAACTTACATTAAATAACTTGTATGCCTTTTCCCATTACTGTCTTTGTAAGTTTAATTTTCAGACCTGGTCAGGAATCCTAAGAGGGTGAAGGAAAATTTTTCCCTCCCCGCCCCAGACTCTATTCCATTGAAACACGGTGGGAGAGTTGTTAAGTGCTGAGGTGAGCTAGTGGAAAAGTACTGAAAGGTATGAGGAGGGGTGATGTTTGTCAGTGTGATTCGGCTATTTGTGTTTGTTAATTGGTTTTTATCTAAGTTAGGCTCCTACTCACTCAAAAAGACTGTAAGATAGGAACACTGGCTTTATTGATGATTACATCTTGAAGAGATGGTTTGCAGGTCCTTAAGAAAGACGTTTCCAGATTGTCAAACAGGCAAGAGACTGGGAGAAGATTTAGATCTCAAAGGACCAGAGAAAAATTTACAATTGCAAGTCTTCTGCAGTAATGGTGTAAGGGAGGTCAGGAGCCTGTAGTCTGGAAGAAACCTATCTAAAGTTTAGTAAAGCTGAGGGGATTGTTAAGTCCGTCTTGGTCAATATACTTTATTACAGATGGTTGACATTATGCCAAGATCTATACTTACCAATAAACATCATCATTATTGTTGATATTCTGACTTTGAGTAGACTTGCTTTCCTTCCTAGGCTATTTAATATAAAACCATAGATCAAATGTTATTATGCAATATAGACAAAGAAAGGACAAATATTTAGAGATGACCTAGTCCATTGCATTGTATAGTTGAGGAACTGATGATCCATTACAACAATTTCTGAGTAAATACATCCTTGAGTCAGAATTTTAACACAGACAAATAATTTGTCATGACAGTTTCTCCAGGGAATATCAGAACAAAATTGTATTGGTAGAAGAAGAAAGCAAGTAGAATAAAGTGAACTTTGGAGGGTCATGTTGGTGAAGTCATGTTTAAAAATTAGGCTGTTCTGAGTTGCTTGGTTACACTCCTGTATCTAAATTGAGTGGCCTTCCATATTGATGTTTTAGAGGGAAAAATTCTTGTACTTTGATCTCCTCAACCCTACTGGTAGCCCCTGTTTAGCAAGGTGAGGAGGCAGAATGATAGCAAATAGGTGTCCAACTGCCCTAAGTTCATTTAGCTTCTTTGCAGAATAGAGAATAAAATTTCACAATGTCATTTTTTTTCCACCAGTTACCAGAAAACAGAATTTGGGTAGTTGTTTTTCCTAAATAAGTTGCGATAATTCTGAACCAAGAATATGACAAGATCATAAACATGAGATTCTTTTAATTTGAGATATTAATACTTGATTGCTTTTTCCATGCAGCATTGTTTCACTCTGAATAGACTTTCTTTTTTTTCCATTGTCTATTCTTTGTACTTATTTTTTATTCTTACCTGGAATGCTTCCTTCTTTTACCTGCCATTCAGGTAAATGAGAATAGGAAGACAGACGTCATTTGGAATTGTGCAAACTGTTTTACATTTGTCAATTCAGTTATTCTTAAAAAATATCAAAATAACCCATATGGATCATTACAATTATTATTTTAATTTTGCCTTTGAGGAAACTGAATTTCAGATACATTAATAATATATCTGTGACCTTGCACACCATTCTGTCTATGAACCTCCCTCTTTACACTTAACCTTGTCTCTCCCTGGTCCCATTTTAACTCTCTGCCTAGTTTTCATAGCTTCTATAGCAGCAGTGGCTAAGAATGGCTATACTGAAACATTAAGTTTTTCTACCATTAGGAATGGTAGAGAGAAAATCCTATTTTCTAAGCAACAAGATTCCCATTACAAAGAAACTTGTTTTAGATGAGTACTTTAGCTACTTTGGTTGAGATGTAAACCTGTAAGAAATTTCTTAAATGATACAAAATAGTCAGTGAGCTAATTTGTAAGGTAAAGTGTAGGGTGGCTACTTTCTTGGCTTTCTTTTTTTCTTTTTTTTTTTAAATACTTATTTATTTGACAGTGAGAGAGGGAACACAAGCAGGGGGAGTGGGAGAGGGAGAAGCAGGCCTCCCGCTGAGCAGGGAGCCCGATGCGGGGCTCGATCCCAGGACCCTGGGATCACGACCCGAGCTGAAGGCAGTCGCCCAACCGACTGAGCCACCCAGGCGCCCCTTTCTTGGCTTTCTTTACACAATGGGGGTACACAGGAGGTCAGGCTGAATTGTTTAGAACATTAGAGGAGATCAGAAGCTGTGATGAGAACCAGGGAGGACAGGTGAGATGGCTGGCGGCCAGAGAGGGCCTCTGGAAGGACGGCAGTGATGTCTAAGTAGAGGTTTGTTTTAACTTTGTGTGGTACGGTGTGACTTCTCTCCCCTGTCAGTCTATGACATTCTCAATAAACTGTTTTTCTTGTTAATGTATTGAGAAAATGGATGTCTTATTTTTTGGCATAGGATAAAGTACTAAGTATGGCCCTAAAGCTGTCTCAGGGAAGTCCTCTAGGATCTGTGTAACACTTAGGAAGTATTCTTAAGACTCTATCATCTGTGTTTTATCTGTCTTTTTTCATCTGTTAGTGAAGGAGAAAAAGACAAATGTATTCAAAGAGAAAATCTAGTGAAGGACGAAGGACAAATGTATTCAAAGGGAAAATCTAGCCAAGGTTAGAGACCTGGGAACAGTGTCTCTGTCTCTTGGTGAATTTTGCTACCTGGCAGGAATGGGGGGATGCACAGATGGCTGTTCAAATGTGTGTGGACACAAAGATTATCTTTGAGGAAGCCAGACACAGAACTTGTAGAAAGTCCTATGCCTCTAAGGACCCAATGGCATCTCTCCTATGAGATGTCTCATATGAGTGTCTCATTTGACGTAAGATTGGGTCTCCTGTGAGACCCAGTGGCTCTCATTCATTAAATTGCACAGATGCATCTGAAGTTAATAGCTGTGTCAAAATCTGTCTTTTGTCTTTCACTCTTCCCAAATCCTAAGTGGAACCCAAATTTGTATTTGATTCTTTTTTTTTTTATTAAAGGTTTTATTTATTTATTTGACAGAGAGAGACACAGCGACAGAGGGAACACAAGCAGGGGGAGTAGGAGAGGGAGAAGCAGGCTTCCCACGGAGCAGGGAGCCCGATGCGGGGCTCGATCCCAGGACCCTAGGATCATGACCTGAGCTGAAGGCAGATGCTTAACGACTGAGCCACCCAGGCACCCCTTTTGATTCTTGCCTCAGTAATGAGTCTGCTGTGGGACAGTAAGCTTTTCAGTCTTTAGTTCATCAAGGTTTAATTCAAAACAACATATATTCATTAAATTTTTGCTATGTGCCAGAAACATTAATTGGATCTATGGAATATGGGGACAACAGGGGTGATTTTCTTTTTGTTATTATTACAGACTTGTTTTCCATATTTCACTGTTTCACCTCATGATGCTTTTTCTGGTTTATCTTTCTAACTCTGAATTTTATTTTATTTTTTTAAGATTTTATTAATTTATTTGACACACACAGAGAGAGAGAGAGAGCAAGAGAGGGAACACAAGTAGGGGGAGTGGGAGAGGGAGAAGCAGGCTTCCCGCAGAGCAGGGAGTCTGATGCGGCGCTCAATCCCAGAACCCTGGGATCATGACCTGAGCCAAAGGCAGACGCTTAATGACTGAGCCACCCTGGCACCCCTGACTCTGAATTTTAATTATTGCCTTGTTCCAATCACTGGCATATTGTTCTTTTTATTACTGTTTAAGTAGACTGAAATCTATTCTTGTCCTACAGTGTTGATTAATGTGTACCTTCCAAGTTACTAGTATCAACTCCTTACTTGACCTTAACATAATGTTTGATGTACTGGTTTATCAATGAATATTTAGTGTTTGAGGAAGAAAAAGGAGGAATTCCTTATTGCTTTTTTCCTATGAGTTCTTGGACAAGTATACTTCCCACTGAGAATTCTCTCCATACACACCTCCCAACTCCCTACCTTCTCCTGAGGATAGTTCAGGAGACAGGTAAACAGAGCAGTTTGCATTCCCCTACTGAAGCACACAACAAATCCTTTGGCAAGTCTTGCTGGCGGGATATAAAAAGAAAACATTAGCTTAGAAAAGTCAATAACAATATGTAAAATGAGCCTCAGTTTTTCTTTCTTCTTTTAAGGTAATGAGAGTAAATTTAGCCCAAATGTGTTCCTGCCGTCTGGTTTATTTTAGAGCAATTTAAGAAATAATTCTCTGCTGTTAGGTTCGTGTTCAACTTTGAAATCATCAGTTTAGCAATGGTGAGCTGTTACCTGTAAGTTAATTCAGTTTCAATTTCAGTGGTTAAAGATACAAAGTAACTCAAATTGCCATCTTCTTGGTTCACAGATAATTCTGGGAAAATTGGAGCCTAGATGACAGGGGAACATTTTTCTCTAAAGTTAATTTAAATTAACAGATTCAATTTCATATGTGTTATGAGTTACCTAAATTTCCAGATGGGGACTGTAACATTTAAACAGAAATTCCACCCAGAAGCTATTCCCTCCACTGGCACACAACCTTGGTAAAATCATCTCTCAGAAACATGTCAACACAGGTGCAATGGAATATAATCAGCATAATTTTCCACGACAGACGTGACTGCTAGGAATGTAGAAAGAAAAGAAAGGCATTACTGAAGATTTCAGAGGTACCATAATTCAGGCGACTTATTTTGGAAGAGAGCAATATTTACTAATACTGCTATTGGACAAAACCAAATAAATATATTACTAGACAAGACTAAAGCCAGAAATCCAACGAGTAATAAAGATGTCAAAAGTCACTGAAGTATTTCTCTGCAGTAGTTAAAATATAGCTTCTGCAGAGGTTCCTTTACTTCACTTTTACAACTATTTTCTGGCTTCAACACAGCAATATATTTTAATATTAGAATTGGGGAATTCTAGATCTGAATGTATGATTACCTTGTAATAACTGAGATGAGATTTAGGTGACAGTAATTAAGAAGGAAAGAATATCCTTTACATAAAATATAAACTATGAGTTGAGAGTTGTATGTGGGTTAGGGCATATACATCCCTTCACGAATATGATTATGGATCTCTTTATCTTAGGTTGTAATGTAAATTATATTTTGTTTTGAAGATCGATTAGATCACACATTAACTGATAATCAGTCTAATGCATTGGAAAAATTTAAAAAAAGATTACCATTTGAACACCCATGTGTGCCAGTTTCACATACATTTTCAAATCAATTTCTAAATTGATATTTAGGTATTGATATCTTTGAACCAAAAAGTCATAATATATAATGTCTATCCTTAATCTTACTAATATTCTAGAATTTATATTCTGAAGTTATTTCCTTCAGTTTACATGTATTCATATAGAATATCCTTTTTATTTTGATTCATCTTTATACATGGCATCAGCCTTACTTTATGATACCTCAGTAGAAAATTGAGAGCTCAAGAGGCCTGTACACTACTGAACTCTTTCAGTTCTATACTCTCTAGCCTCTAAACTCCCTATCACCAGACACCTGTGTTATTTCAACTAGTGTCATGCTTTGTTACTACACTCAGGCACCTATATGGTGAACAAGCCAACAGACCAACACTTACTGCTGCTTTCACTAGTACTTACTATCTATGAATTTCCCCCAGAATCTTCTAGCATTTTTAATGCATAGGTAGAATACCACATATAGTAGCTGGTTTCCAAAGATGACCATCATTCTTTGCAGTATTCCTGCCCTGGTGTGCTTTCTTCTTTTTGAATCTGGGCTGCCCCTTGAATTCTGAAGAAGAAAATAGATCGTTGTGATGTTTGTGGATTTCCAAGGCCAAGTCAGAAGAAGCCTTGAGGTTTTCAACTGGATTCTTTTGAATTTTTCTTCTTGGAGTGATCTTTCTGTGAAATCAGCCTCCCTGCTTGTGAGCAGCCCAAGTGACATGGAGAGGCCATGTGCAGGGTGTCTGGTCTATATTCCTAGTTGAACTCCCAGCTAACAGCCATTGTCTACAACTGGCCATGTGACTGAGCCATCTTGGACCATAGATAGCTTCTTTGAAGTAGGAGCTACGACTTACTATTATTTTTTTTCTTCCAGGTTTTAAACGCTTATTAGCCCTTCACAAGCTGGGTAAAATTGTTATTTGGATTAAAATCAAATTGAAAATGTTCTCCAAAGGGTGGTAAAGTCTACAAAGGATATCGATGTTGAGGGACATGGTTTAATAACGTCTTCTTAAATTTTAGACTTAGATTGTTACAAGTAGTTTAACTTAGAATGACAAAAATGCCAGAGGCTTAACATTTCTTAGACTTGTAAGCCAGGAAACAATGATTTGTTAGCAGTGAAAAATATTGTCAGCTACATGGATTTTAAAGATTACTCATTTTCACTTGACATTGGAAAATAGGAATAAAATCCTTAATGGTTGCATCTTTCAGTTATCACAGGGGATTCTTTGAATGTCTTTAAATGGTTAGGAAATCAGAAATATTAAAACCCTACAGAGTATTCAGTGAAATCAGTGTAGACATATATTCTTTGTATACTTTTAAAGCTCATCAATCACATAGAGTTGGCATGTGAAATCTGAAAAGAATAATTCTTAAGGCCTAAGAAACATTGGTTCTCAGGAAAGTTTAGCTCTTCTTTTCAGAGAGAAGAAATAGGGAATAGTGGGGAATTTGGGGAATGAAAAATTCTCCACTGTTCTGACAACAACAATTCAGATGTAAGTAGCCCTAATAAAAGTACCTTGCCAATGCATGTATAACCATTCCCCAAAATGTTTCTTTCAACATGTGGCCACTTTACTTAAACAAAACTCCAGTTAAAAATATAAAATGTTTCCTCTCATGATCAGCCTTAATATCTTGTGAGTTTATCAGATGGACACAGTAGAATCTGTTAAAATGCCATCTGTGACAATTCTCTGTAAATTGTTAGGCTCTAAAATTTTGTATTAGTAGTCCTTTACCATTTAAGCTTCAAAACAAATGCAGCACAAAGAAATTTTGATGTGGGGGCCCTAGTAAAATGATGATTCCATTAGAATGAGCTACTTCTGTGGATGCTGAAGGGAACATCAGCTGAAAACTAGGGGAAGGATGTGGAGGGCAAAGCTCTAAAAGGAAAGCTAAGACAATGGAAAAAGATGCAGAGAATAACTAATAGGTGTTCCATACGTGTTTCCCTTTGCCCTATTTTATAATTTTGATTGAAGTCAGAAACAAGCAAGATCAACATCTTTTATATACTTACACTAGGAAGGGTTCATGAAAATGAGTAAAAGAAAACCTTTGAAAAATGAATATAGGTTAATAATATTAGTAATCTGGTGTAACCCAGGAATACCATGTCCTTGGAGTCAGCATTATATACTCAGGTTCATCTCATCTTGCTGCATTCTACATATTCATAGTCCTTTTGGTACGTACTCACCACTGACAGCTCAACTCATTATAGAAATCCGAGGCAGACAGAAACAGTGCAAACATATATCTCAGGCCCTGCATTGTCAGTGAAGGACAAAGTAATAACATAGGGAAATTTCTTCTTGCTCAATTTGGGTAATATTCAGCCCTATGTGTCCAATTCTGTTTTAAGCTACATATCAGCATATAGCATCCTGAAATTTTAAATCCAAAATTAAAATAGTTTTATATAACACATAAGAGTAATACAAAGAAAAGATCAAATGAAAAGATGTAAAAGGCAAGAAAGATGATTATTTTAGAGAAGAATTAAAAATCATTATTTTGGTGTGGCAAAATACGGAGAATAGGTGTCTATCTCAGTAAGATAAAACTAATAATAGCTAATGGAATTGAATAATAAATTCAATTAATATCTTCTTTATGGGTCACAATGAGCATATTGAACATAGGTATTAGGCAAGGGGAATAAACTCACACTAGACTATTGTCAAACAAGGAAGCTGTGGCTCTGGGATCCCATGGCAGCTGCAGCACCGAGGTGGAGAAGGAGACGCAGGAGAAGATGACCATTCTTCAGGCCTGCTTCCAGCAGAACAAGGATGAAGTCCTGGATAACCTGCTGGCCTTTGTCTGTGACATCCGGCCAGAAATCCATGATAACTACCGCATAAATGGATAGGGGAGGAAGGAGCAGCTCTGCGTGCAGATTGGCATGTTCGATGCCGTCATGGAATACGAAGCTTCAGCAAAGCTTGAGTAGTTACGTCCTGTGAAAAGGCATTAAATTATTTCTGTATATTATGTAGTAGGTCCCTTCACTTCTTGGAGAGTAGCGAATCTAGCTTCTTTGTACAAACATAGAGCTTATCCAAAGATTTTCTCCTTTTACCTCATATTTCTTAGAAATTTAATATGTATACGGTGTCTGTTTTCCTGTGCCTTTTAGCTCAAGCAACATATGTATCAGTACTTTTTCTTTCTTAGATGTAGTAAAAAAAAAAAAAAAATTCTGTTAAAGGGATTAAATATTTTTTTTTTTCCCTAAAGCTTTCTTGAAGGTCAGGGGCTTTTTCTATGAAAAAGTAGTAAATAGTTACTGTAACTTGTGTGAAGCAGCAGCCGGCCTTAAGTCATCCTTTCGGCTGAGGGTGGAACAGTGAATACTAGTATATATTGTTCAGGCTGCTCTTAGTTTCTCTTAATCAAAATTATTAGATGATAGAATTCAAGAACTTGTATACATGTTCTTACTTGGTGTACTGATAATCATTTGAAAGTAAAGACTTTGTCATGCAAAAAAAACCAAAAAACAAAAAACACTCAAATAGAAAAAATAGTGTTTCTTGGTTGAGGGGGTGGGAAACTAACAAGGTAATAAGCAGACAGCAGAAAAAAATGGAATTCCAGCTTTGAGTATATTTGGAGAGATATGCTTACACTTGGCAAAGCCAGACTGCACTTGCCATGGTAAGGATTCTAGTAGAGAGGGACCACAGTCAGTATTTTTAGGAACACAGCCAAGAAACTTGGATATAACTGAAATAGTGGAAGTTCCTTAATCAAGGTTGTGGCCGTGTTAGAAAGGAAGGTCTTTGAAGCTCAGGGGCTGGTTCTTTTCACTGTGCTAAGTTAGACCTGATCACTTCTGCTGGTGGAAGTGGATAGGAGATGAGCTTTTAGGTTAGGATTGGTCTATCCTCAGTAGGTTTTTTTTTTTTTTTTTTTAAGATTTTATTTATTTATTTGACAGAGAAAGACGTAGTGGGAGAGGGAACACAAGCAGGGGGAGTGGGAGAGGGAGAAGCAGGCTTCCCGCGGAGCAGGGACCCTGATGCGGGGCTCGATCCCAGGACCCTGGGATCACGACCTGAGACGAAGGCAGACGCTTAACGACTGAGCCACCCAGGCGCCCCTGTCCTCAGTAGGTCTTATAGAAGCATTGTTATTGATGGGAAAATAGACACAGAGATCAAGTAACTTACCCAAGATTATATCGGTATTTAATGACAGAGTTGATACATTAATAGAAATAAGAAGGGTCTGTATTTTTGTTTCATTATTTATCATCTTCATATAATGAATTGGGAAGCTTTCTTTGGTATCTTATGAAATAATTTGAATATATGCGTTTATCTGTTTTTTGTGGGCTTTGTAAAATTTGTATGAGGGAACAATTGGTAGTTTATGGGTTTTTTTGTTTTTGTTTTTGTTTAGTTTTTGTGTTTTGTTTCCATTAGGGGTAGTGGAGGTAGTTAAGAATTGCTGATTAGCAGTTTGGTTTCTTTCGTTTTTTTAACAGTTCAGTTTCTTTGTCTTTGGTTTGTTTAGGTTTCCTATTTCTTTTTGATTCAACTTTTGTTACATAATATTTTTTAGAGAAATTTTCATTTCAATTTTGTTTTCACCTGTATTATGAAATTAATTTAAAAATAATCTCTACTGATCTGTATCTGTGCATTTTTCTTTCCTTAGGTGTTTTGTTTTTATCTTCTTTTTCTTGATAAACCTTTTAAATTTGTTTCTGTTTAATATGTCTTTGGCTTGTCTTCATTATGATTTCTTTAAATCTTAAACATTTTTATAACTTCAGTTCATAACTTTTTTAAAAGTCCTTTTCTGCTCAATCCATCATCTTTATTGTTTCTGGGTGTGTTTCTATTAGTTAATTTTTTACTGGGTTTGGGTCATGTTTGCTGATGCTTCATATGCCTAGTAATTTTTTAGTGAATTTATAACATAATGAATGATGCATGTGAGAGTGTATGAAATTTGTTATCTTTCTTTAAAGAGTGTTGAAGTTTGTTTCGGCTGACTTGATTCTTTCAAGGTTTGATTTTAAATTCTTTTAGGGTGAGACTAAAGTGCTAGTCTGGGCTTACTCCTTCTTAAGTGTGACTCTTAAGCAGTTTCTACTGATTGCCCTGAATGTTGAATGAGATTTTTACAGTCTGGCTGCTTGGAATTTGGATGTCTCTTAGTCTGTTTGAGAGGTTTTGGAGTTTGTTCACTTGTAACTCCCTGCCTTTGTTATTTGCCTAGCTTCATGGAGTTTCAGCTTTACATTCACAGATTAGTATGATGTCAGAGATTCAAGAGAATCTAATAAAAATGTCAGGAGTTCAGTCTCTGCCCTGCAGATTCCCTCTTCCTCAACTTCCCCAAACTCTGAGAAATATGCTTCTTCAAATCAGCAATCCCATTATTCTCTGTTTGCCTTCCTCATTCCTGGGCCTCTGTCCAGAAATTGCGTCCAGGCAGAAAGCCAGAGCAATGTAGAGTCTGCTTTGTTTCTATTCTCGTAAGGATCCTAGTCCTGTTCTGCCTTTTGTCCCAATGTCTGGAAGCATTTTTTTCTTATACTTTGTCCACTTTTTTAATTGTTTGCAACGGGAAGGGAAGTTACCCTGTAGTTACTCCTTCATGACTGGGAGCTGTACTACCTTCCACTCGTTTTGATACATTTTACACATCTTTGTGGTTTACTATTTAATGTCCTATGATTTTCAGTATGGTTATTTTTAATGTGGAATTTTTTAGAAGTGGGATTTTTAGTTTCCAACTGTATATTTGTTTTTGAAAGGTTATCCTTGTTACTGCATTGTAAATACCTCTCTTACTAGTATTTGTTCTGAGTTCTTTTGAAATAGCATTGAAAATATGGGTGAAAAAATGTATTTTACTTAATTATTGTTTGCGAGGTTCTGTATATATCAATCATATACATTACTATTGAGATAACTGAACCTGCAAAGATTTGGGTTGTTTATTCTATCAGTTTTAGATTGAGTAGTATAATAACCTTCTAATATAATTCTTTGATGTATTTATTTATCCCCTGTATAATTTTAGCCATGTAGTAAGCTGCATTTAGTCAGTAGCTTCAGAATTTTTGTATCTTTCAACTGTATTGCTTCCAGGCAATTAACTTTTTCCTCTGTTTATTTTTTGTTACTCTGAACATCTTTATTTTCACCTAGTGAAAAAATAAAAAGAGACAATTATTTTTTCTCTGCTCTGTTTTTTATGAGTTTTTGTACTATTAAAAAATGTAAATTTACCTCCTGAAAGAATTTAAAACAATAAAATAAACACATCAATAGATAGACTTATAGCCTTTCATTATTCACGTAACAGCTGACAGCAGATGAGCAACAGGAGTCTAAGATCTCCTCCTTAGAAATTAGTTAAATTTTCCACTGAGAGGGTTTGTATCATTTGGTTTACTATTACTTTAATGATATATTTGCCTCTTTTTTTCCCTGCAATTTTCAGGGCTAATATTAAGAGAGTTCAAAGCAAAAGTAAAGGAATATATAAATTAAAGAAATACCGTGGGGTTTTACCGACTAATTGCCTACCTGGTTTTAAGTTCAGTTCTCATTTTTGTTATTATAGTTCCATAGGCTAACTTAAGTGGGAAAGCTGGGTTAATAAAGGCTGAAAATAATAGCTTAAAATGCTGCTTAAGACTGTGATAATATTGTGATAATATTTCACCATTTTGTTTACACATTCAGTCAAAATTTGTAATTGGTATTTAAAGAAACCTTATCGGTAAAACCACCTTCCCATTCTGTGAAGATGATTTTAGATTTGACTTCTATTTTCAGACTTAGCTTTAAATACAGGAACCAAAATGAAAAACAGTAAAAATAGTCTTGCAACGTAATGGGTCAGTAGGAATAGTTTTATATCGGAACATGTTGTTCAAACATCTCATGGCAATAAAGAGTAAAAAGCATAAAGTCACATTCAGTTATTTCTTCATTCATATTCAAGAACAAAATGCCAACCTTAATGGGGCTTACATTCCAGTGGAAGAGAGTGTACATAAACAGAAACACTAGGGGGAAACAATATGTGTCATGTAGGGATACATGCTAGAAAAAAGAATATAGTTGCAAAGAAAGGCTGAAGGGAGTTCAACTTTGATATCAGTTGTCCAGAGAAACCTCACTTAGATGTTTTAGGAACCATCTGGAAGAAGTGTTGGAGTGAACCTTGTAGGTATCTGGAGGAGGATGAGCATTTTGGCTCTTAGAGGAGCAGGTGAAAAGGTTTGGAGGCAGAAATGTACCTGCTACATTCACAGAACAGCTTGGAGACCAGTGGGGCCCAATGTCAGAACAAATGGGGTGAAGAGAGGGACAAATCATACAGGGCAGTGTAGGTTTTAATAAGAAATTTGGCTGTTACTCTTGGTGAGATTGGAGGGTTTTGACTAGAGAACTGAGATAATGACTTTTTTTTTTTTTAAGAATGTTTGGATGTTGCATGAAGTGTAGGCTATATGGGAGCAAAAATAAAAACTGGAAAATCAATCTAGAGGCTGTTGTGAAAATCCAGAAGGTGGTGGCTTAGACTTCAGTGATAGCAATAGAAAGAATAAGAAGAAATCAGGTGATTGATGCATTTTGAAGAGTGTGTGTTGGCTGCATTTGCTGATGAATTGGAAATAATATGTGAAAGTCATAGAGGAATAAATTTTTTGAACTGAGCATTAGAAGGATAGAGTTGTTTCTCTAAAAACTTCATCTAGATATAAGATAATTCAAATATTTCAAGCCAAAAATTAATGAGTGGAGTTGGAATTACAGTGGTTATTGCCAAACCTGGCTGGACACTGAATCACTGGGGGGCTATGTAAAAAATACAGATTCTTAGCTCTGTTTCTAGAGG